ACAATGGTCAACTTTATATCGCTACCAAGTTTTTGGATTCTTTCTTTCAGCTGGAAATATATCTGATTTTAGGCAAGAGGCAGTTAAAGTCGAATATCTGATGAAATCAATGTTCCATCTGAAACCATGTTTACTTATCCGCAGTATTTTTAATAATTATTTTAATCACTATCAAAATCTGATCTCAAAATTGAAATACGGCATCGAAAAACATGGTCCGTGGGCGATCTTAATATTTTTGTACTCCGTTATAAAAACAAATTTCGGAAAGAACCCAGTACATTCCAAGGTTGACTTTTCGTCTGGATTAAATAAAAGTTAAGTTTAAACAACATGAAGCGTAGTTTACGAGAATTACTTTTATATACTCCTCGTTTATATGAAAAATAATTGTTTCACTGTTTTATAAATACCTCATCAAACACTTCGGATACTGTCGATCTGGTTGACGGATTGATGTAGTAACGAAGAGTTATACGGCCTGGCAGCACACTATCTGTCAGGGCGCCCTGGAATGTGCGCCATTTAAAATTATATTAAATTTAAATATAACAAATAATTTAGTACCAATAATGCCATAATAGTTTGGAAGCTCAAGGTACAATTAACATTTGGATATACTTCATAAATAAAAAAATAATCATTTTCTTAGTCTAAAATCTAAAACGACAGATTCTTTGTGATGTGATTTTAACGTAATAGAAACATTCTTTTGATATAATTTTTCATTAGGTATTAAACTGAATTAAGCTATAATAGTTTATAAGGGAAGATTGGATCTACAACTGACCTGTAATCTGTTCAAGTTGATGCTGGTAAAGTCGCCGGTGTTGCTGACTTGCAACTTCTTCATGTAATCAATTTGCTCGTCTCGATACTCTTGTAATGATTCGATCACTTTCGCGCACTGTAAATACACAAATATCAAAAATGATATAACAATTCTATAAAACTTCAATGTACGATGAAAATAAAGATTTCCTTTACTACGCCGATTACCTTATCTAAGTTTTTAAGGAGATCAAATAACATTGCTATAATTCGTTTCGAGGTTTGCAAAAGATTGATATCTGCAAAAAGTATTGTGTCTTTTTTTTCGAACAGAATGAGAAAAACTTTTTTGTTTGACTCATAAGAAAACAGGTGTTGTAATTTTAGGTTTTCTTAGTTAAATACCTTTCCTA